GGTTTTGAAGCATCGTCGGCGGGACTGGCCGGGGCGAGAGCGGGCGGAGGAGTAACGCAGAGGAAACAACAGGTCTCTCTTCTCTTCGCCTTCCAAAACGATACCAGCGCCTTGCTCTTGGAATTATAAATGTTTGAACTAAGACCCAGGGAACTGGAAGGAGAGCCTCCCGCTGGAATTAACAGAAGAGAAAAGAAGGGAGGCTTTTCCAAATCCTTTACGAGAAAGCTCGTGCCATTTTCCCATGCTGTCCGTACTCTGTTTAATAACGCGATTGTGACCTGAGTGGAACTTAAGAGCGATGAACTGTTGAAGCTTGTTGCACCACTGCATCAGACTGTACAAGTTTTTACTGCTCCTTTTCTTCAGCACATGATTCCCCCATCCCAGCTGTTGCAGGACCCATGGGCCAGTAATAGAGGGATGGGAAGCTGAGACAGTTTATTTTCACATTCTTCTATTGTGGGGACTTGGCCGGTTAGCTGGAGCTGCTGCTGCTTTTTACTGGATCTGCTCTTTTCTTGGCAGATTTATTTGTTTTCATGTGCACGGGGTGTTTCAATTAAATAGACATTGGACTAGAGCTGAATGGATGCTTTGCGATCCGAAAGGTTTTTGGGGACAGCAAAAGCCGACTGAAAACAGAGAAGAACTGGTACTGCAGGAAACCTGGGGCCTGTTTTCCAAGCCTTTTTATTTTATCGAGCAAGGTAAATAATGTAGTGGTGTTGAAAATACAGAGCTTATGGTAATCATGCATGAAAATGTTACAGAGCACTTCGGGCTGTTCCAAGTCTTTCAAGGGATCGAGAGGTCCCACAGTAAAGCTCAAAATAAGTTTAATTGTTTTTTAAAACGTTCGGATACGAGTGTAAGATTTAAGGCTGAAAACAAACTTTGTGGTGCCTGAGAGAGAATTGAGGAATCTATTTGTTTCTGATTTGCCTTAGGTTATTGCAGGGTTGTGATGTTGAGAGGCCGACTGAAGAACTTCACACGTCTTGATGGTTCAGTGAGAGTGTGCAGTAATTAAATCAGTTTGTTTTTCCCATGCTTTTTAAAGACTTGATGCATTTAACCTCTTGTAAGGATCTGTTAGGGTCTCTTGAAAGTCCTTCAAGTGTAACAATAGTACTGTACTTAATTTGCATTGTTAGCTGGATTCAGACTCTGCCTTTAATTATTTTTGCTTAGCTTTCCTTTTGTTATCCACAGTGATGGCTGCTGCCACTTTGTAATGAGTTTTTTGCTTTTTATCTTCCTTTACCTGTGTATCACCTGAATTGGACTACCTGGATTTACCACTAATTTACATGCATCACTTTAACCGTTGTTTTTCTACGGCCAGCATAAACTCAAAGTACTGTTTGAGATGCTATCTTTGTATGTTCCAAGCGTTGGAAGAAGCAGATAATGCTTCTCAAAATGTGCAGTGTAATCACTTACTGGTTGAAGTCTGTAATTTTTGGTGGCACGCTGCGCACCTTATCTTTGTTTTTCTTTAAAGATCCCGGCAGCAGTTTACTTTTAACAAAAATATAAATCCATTAAAATGAGATCACAGCGTGAAACACAGCTGTAAAAATCTGGTTTTGCAAGAAGTCACAGGGTTCTCATTATGAAGTGATGCCTTGATTAAATGGATTGTGAACCTTTTCTCTCTTGGTCTTAATGAAACAGTGGCAAGCACTAAGGTGTTGGCAACCTTTGCTGATGCTATCATTGGGAAAGCTAAGTTGGTATTATGGGTAGTATCCCAAGTTCTTTTGCTTATCCTGTTTAGATTTCTTTGACTTGAAATTTATGGTCTTTGTTTTGTCTTATTTTGTTTCAAGATGATGTGTGAGGTGATGCCAACCATCAGTGAGGCAGAGATTCCCTCTGGGGGAAATGGAGGCCATGGTTCAGGTTCCCCGTTACAGTCAGATGCTGATTCCCATTTTGAGCAATTAATGGTATCCATGTTGGAAGAAAGGGATCGCCTTCTGGAGACACTAAGAGAAACTCAGGAGACACTAGCATTGACCCAGGGCAAGCTACATGAAGTTGGTCATGAGAGAGATTCCTTGCAGAGACAGCTTAATACTGCACTGCCACAGGTATGGACATCTTGAAAGGAAGGTACTTCTCGATAATATTTGCATTCTTTGTGGGATTTTGTTGGTTTTCTGTATATTTGATTTGCTGGGTAATGTTAGGAGAAGATGAATCTAACTTAGTACTTTTCTGAAGTATCTGTTGGTACTTGCTCACTTGGAGAAAGACATAAAAGCAAGGCAAGCAGGAAACATCAGCCCTTTCCCTCCAGTATACTTTCCTGGCTTTTGGCATTTCTTTGGCTTAGCCTGAGCGTGAAGTTGTGTCTACATTCGTTCGTTTAGTAAAACTTGATGGACTTTTTCTGTCACTGTTTTTAAATGTTGTTTCCAACTGCCTGATTCATTCATATACTTCAGACATTCTGCGAAAGAAAGCTGGACATTGATACCATTATGAACTTCAGCTTAAAAACTTGCTGAGTTTAAGACTGCTACCTTGTGAATACATGCTGAGTGGTCATGGCAGTGGAGAAGTCCGAGTGTGATGCTTAATTCATTTACTTCCATTTGGACTGACTGCTGGGGAATGCAGTGTACCAACATACAGCCTGTACGTGTTACACAGGGCAGTAGTGTGTAGTTAGAAAAAGGGATTAGTGTCTAGAGAACTTCTGGTTTTATTCATTCTAGTTAAAAAGAATACAGCTGAACTTTGAACACTTGGAAAAGCTTTTGGTTGTAGGCAAAGCAGGGGTTGCTTTCAGGTGTCAGTTAACTGTTGATAGCCTTGCACTTTCTGACATGGTTGGTTGTCCCAGATATGTCATGTTGATGTTATACTTTCATATGTTATTCCAAGAATACTTACTATTTTTACAAATGTTTACATATCCTTAAATACCGTAGTTACTGTTGATACCCTTTAAAACAACAGGTTTAAACCCTTCTGCTTCCACTGCTCTCATTATATATAATTAGTGTATGACCCTTGGTATGTACTAGCAATTACTAAGGGATAGAAACTAGAAAGTAATACATGTTAATCTAGTTGTGTTACAGTGGTATGATGGAAATCAGAAAGGACAAGTTTCCAACCTTTGTTGCTCCCTGGGTTAAATCATGTGCTGCAGGCAAAAATCATTCTTTGTTGTTTTTTGGTTGTAATAATTGTGGCTTCTCTTTAGCTGCTATTTCAGGTACATTAATGGATACCATTAACCAATTGTGTGATCTGTGAACTTGGAATTTGTGGCTGGGTAGAATCACCCAAGCTCTAAACCGTACTGTTCCTCTTTTCCCTTTTCAGTTCTCAGCTTTCATTCCTAAATCTACTAAGCTGGTTAGTTTTCAAGTAAATATTTCTTTCTAAACATTTCTAAAAGATTAATGCAGTTAAGAAAAGCAATTCCCATTTTCAGGAATGTCATAATTGCATAGTTTCACGTGAAATATGTAGGAAAGCAAGTCTCATAGTTGAGAGAGAAATTTTCCTGCAATGTATATAAACGTAGAGCAGCGTATGGATTTGTGTAGATTGCTGTTGAAAACAACTGTTGGCGTGGTGTGAAACTTACGATGCTTCTGTCCTCTCTGGTGCTTAAGCTGGAATGACTGTGGAAGGTGATAATTGATGGTGCTTTCAAAAGGCAAGAATGTTCTATTAGCCTTGCTACAATCAGAAGTAACTGCTGTATTTGACAAGTTTTTGTTATGCTGAACAGTCAGTTACTTCAGAGGTGTAAATTTCTGCTGAGGAGAAACAATGTTGGGTATTTGGGGTTTTTTGAGCTCTAATAAGTGTTCCCTGGGAAAACTCTGTGGTGACTGTAATATGTGAAACTACTCAAACTTTTTTGTTAATTATTTCAAGCTGAGCATTCTTTTGAACTACTGCCTCAAATGACCCATTGTTCAGCTGTGGATTTCAAGGAGGGCTAGAAGCAGGATAACTTTAAATTTACTGACAACCGTGTTATATTTTTCTCAGGAAAGAAGAGATTTAGTAGTGTACATTTTAAAAAGATTTTTTTATCATTATAGTTGCTTTCAATTTGCTAGAAAGAGGTGAGAAGATCTGTTTAGGTGTACAAATACTAGTATAATTGCATGAATTACTAGAGCACGATGCAATCAATATATTATTTCTCCCTCAGACCTGGTATGTAGCTTGCGACACATCTTCGTAGTTGATTTTGGAGTGCTTTATCTTAAGGAGTATTAAATTGACTTGTTTGTATGTATGCTTTTCCTGTTTTATATATTTAGCTGAATCAGCCTGTTAGACTGTTTTGATGACTGATGAAACTCCTTGTATAAAAGGAGGAATGCCAGATTTATTTCTTCTATACCAAAACCACTTCTCTGTTTTTTAGTATGAAGGCACTCAATTTTTAATGGCATCCCTGCACTTAACTCCTGACATTCACTGAGTTTCTCTGTCTAAGGAAGAGTCTCAGACTGGTGTGTATATAGTTAGACAATGGCAAATGGGTATTTATGTATTTGCCCATCTTGTAGATCATAAAAGTGAATTCAGTTTATTCTGCAGCAGTGATGTGCATTTCCTGAAGTGCAAGAGAAGTTCACTTGTCTGATATACCTCTAGTGTGGTGGTCAGCCAGTAATTTAAAGGCATCAGTTCTAGCTCACATAAGCCCATAACAGCTGTTTGGGAGTAAGAAGACTTCTTTATGGAAGTCTAATTTGCAGAGAGAAAAGCATTCTAATCTTCTATAGATGTACTTTATCTGTGACATTTACACAGGGTAAAATTGACTGTGGTGGTTTTTTTTGTATGGACAGCTGGAAATGAAACACATCAACACAGTCTTGATAGAGTAACTGGATTCTTGGCAATGCTTTTTGTTTTCTGGGAGTTACCTTCTATTACAGATTACCCCAGTCAAACTGCACTCTGACCTTGGAACGTGAACTCGATGACATGAAACTGCTGTGCCAGAAGTTAAAATTGATTTTATTCTGCCTAGAATTTTTCACAAGGAAAAAAAAAAAAGAACTTTGAGAACTTAAAGAAGTTTTACTTTTAATGTGAACACATTCAGTTCTGATTTAATTATGGTCTTAGCGGATTCAGTTATGCCCTTCATGTGCCTTTTGGAGTGTGTTTTACAAAATCCTAAAGAAAGGTTTGTGTGCTTAAAGTTAATCTGTGAAACATACAGGATACTACTGCATTTAGATGTTAAATGTTGAGCTGAAGTTTGGCAAGGTCCAAGTGCCTAGCAGTTCTTGCTGTTGAGGTGTTGCAGGGTAGGGTTCATTTTGCTGGTAGAATTTAATGTAGATGATAGAATCATACATTCACAGAATGGTTTGGGTTGGAGGGGACCTTAAAGCTCATCCAGTCCCATCCCCCTGCCACGGGCAGGGACAACTTCCACTAGAGCAGGTTGCTCCAAGCCCCTGTGTCCAACCTGGCCTTGAACACTGCCAGGGATGGGGCAGCCACAGCTTCTCTGGGCACCCTGTGCCAGCACCTCAGCACCCTCATAAGAAAGAACTTCCTTAGATCTAACCTGAACTTCCCCTGTTTAAGTTTGAACCCATCACCCCTTGTTCTGTTGCTACAGTCCCTGATGATGTTTCTGTAAATGACACCAAGATGCTTGTTTTGGAGGAGACAAGAGTTTAATTTACAGAGACCCTGGTACCAAGCACAAGTAAAAGCACAGCTGATGAATTCACAGCAACTTATATCAGGATGACAATTTTAATATGTAAGCTTATAAAACTCTTACAGAAACATAATGTTTGTACATCTGTTAGTACAGCAACACTATTACTAAGTTCCATCTTAATCTTGCACTTGTAATAGTTCAGTCTTAAATGTATCATACTTTGTTTTCGTTTCTGTGCAAGGGAAGTAGAAAGCTTTTCCCTCTACTTGGTCATGTTCAGAAATTCTGCATTCAGCAATTTATATATATATAGGGGCAGATGAGAACTTTGTTGGAGGCTCTGTGTGTAAATAAGAACATTTTACTGTAATGTGGAGGTAAAAAAAAAGCTGCCTATAATTTTGGTTTGGCTTTGGCTTTACTAGGTTGCCCAACTTGTCTTAATTTAAAATGAGTCTGCAGCAGGCATCTTTAGTTGCTTTCTATCTACAGGAAATACTTTATCACTACTGCACATTTCAGTTAAAAATAGCATGTGCTGGTTTATATTTGTATTCAGTTAGTCAGGTACATCCCTATAGAATTATCTTCCTTACACAGTCTCCAAAATACTGTTTACTATCTCACATACAAGAAATAGCTGAACACTTGGTCCAAAGACTGTGCTGGTACTGTTTTATAATGATGAACTGAAGGATTTAGTTGCCATTCTAATAATGGTGGTGGTTGGATTTCCTCCAGACAAGTTTTAATAATACAGGATGTCATAGATGTAGAAATAAGGTTTTGAATTGTACATAATACCAAGAACACAGTTGCAGAAAGTACATTAAGTAAAGGGCTTGCCAAACTTTGCAGCAGCTGAAATTTCCTTAGCATTTTAAGTGCAACTCCATTTACAGTGTTCACAGCTGTTCAGCCTTGAGGTGACACAGCTTTTACTTCTTTCTTTTGCAAGATGTGGTACTGACTTCTAAATAAAAAGATGTTAATCTCAGCAGAGAGCCCCTTGTTCAGGAATGATAGAGATCCAAATGGATTTCAGATGTTCAAATATATGTCAGAGCAGATACATCCTCTGCTTCCCTTGTCCCATTCTGACAGCAAAGATGAACATGACTCTTTCTATTGTGTTTTCAGACAGCTGTAATCTTAGTCTTGTCTATGTTGAGTTTCAGTTGTTAAATCTTACTTGGTTCTTGCTGTTAGTAAGTTACTGGATGTATTTGTCTATCAAGAGTAGTTTAAGTCAGGTGGAAGTAGGAGTTAATGTTCAGAGTTCTTTACTGGCTGTATCAGTAAACCCCAACTTCCCCAACATTTCTTTCTTTGTAAGGCATGGAAAGAGTCAATTTTTGTCCAAAACATTAAGAATATTATCTGGAAGTATGCTCTATGACTGGTCAAACAGAGGAGTAGCTA